CTGGATGACTGAGAAAACAAACTTTGTGTTTTTGAAACCATTAGTGAAAAGGCCAGACCTCAGGGGTATCTGAGGCAGGCTTGAAACACAAGAGTCAGGGTGGCTTCTGGGTAATACCAGATGGCTAGGCCTCAGACTGACGAAGCCTCTTGGACGAGGGGCGAAACGTTTCTTTTTAACAAAAAAAACGAAGTCCAGATGACATGATTCAACCTTTTTTGTTGTTATATACCTGGATGACTGAGAAAACAAACTTCCTGTTCTTTTTAGTTTTTTTGTCATTTGCTTTGCCTTTTCTTTACCTGGTGATAGAGTAGAAGTAGAGCAGCATCTGGAAGAGCTCCTGGCTCGTCACGGTCGATCGCCATCCGTGATGATCTCCATAGAGTTCCACTATTGCCCTCCCCATCCTGTCTTTGCAGCCTGAAGAGGGAACCAGAACATCTAAAGTCATAATAGTTGTTCATAAAGTTTTATATTAAGCATGTGATGCTTTATATTGACCATCAGAACCTAATTGTCTGTACTGCATGTTACAACTGTATACATGATAAAACTGATGTTTGTCTGTCTTGAGACTGTAACTAAGTTGTTTCATCATTATTGTTGTGTATCTTAAATTACCTGTGAGAGATGCTGCTCCTAGATAAAGTGGATGCTTCTTGGGGTCTGGGGATCCGAGGGAGAGGTGGTGGGGTCTGGGTTGACGCACCCTCTGTGTCTCTGCCTTGGTTGAATCTGTCGGTGACAGTTTCTCTGTTTGATGGTCATTCCCACTTGTTACAGAAGTAGGCCCAGGCTGCTCACCAGCTATAAAAAGTTTTTTTTTAATTATTATTATTACTAAAATGAAGATGATGGGAACTGATGGTTTGAAATGAAAAGTTGTTGTTTTTTTTTTTTACCTGGAATGACTTTTTTCCTCCTGTTGATTTTGGGTGAAACCAATCCAAAGGCAGTGCTGTTTTTACATTTTACCACATGTAGCTGAGGAATCTCTGCACTAGTATGAGTGCTCTCTTTTCGCCTGACATTCTGCCCTTCAACAATAACCAGTTCACACTTTTCTGAAGTGTCCACCACTGCTGTGGAGAGAGACGAACATCTTTTACTGGACAGACTGTCTTGTCTGTTTTGCGGTGCAGTAAGAGACTTTGCGGTTGAGCTGGTTGTGTTTTGAAGGTTTTCACAAGACATGTTCATGCCAGACATTTCATTTGAACTAAATGGTAATCCATGGTGTTTGATGGAAACAGATGAATGTTTAGGGCCATTTGCTCCTGACAAAACATTGGTGGTGTTCATCCTAGGCTCTGATGAAGGTTTTAAGTTCACGTTGTGTAAGTTGCCATAAGATTTGGCAGATTGTGCATTCCTACATGGCCCAGTAGTCCTCTCAGATGAGTCATGTAGCCCAACAAACTGCATAGGATTTATTGCCCTGTTTTCCATACATGAAGAGGGGTTCACATGCTCCATCTTCCTTTGTGAGCCAGTGTTTCGTTCTACAGACTCATAAATGTCTTCAGAGACAGAAGAAGGAGACTGGATTTGAATTCCAGTCTCACTACTCGTTTCTTGAATATCACTCCTAGGATCTCCAGTTTCAGTCCTCAGTGGTCCCCGTTTGTCAACACACTGTGACAAATCACCGTCCTCATCCACCACAGCTAATATATTCCCTCTGGATCTCTCTGTTCCAAAGGCGACAGGGTTTTGTATTGCAGCCTGGTAGGAGTCCCTGTATCGGCATTTCAGATCTTGGGCTCTGGCAACCTGTCCACCCTGTCGCCTTACCATGCATGGGGTGCAGGGCTTCTCTGCAAAGCGGACAGTGCGAACACACTGAGGGGGTTCAAGGGAGTCAGAGTGTTGTGTTTGGGAATGCTGGTGAGCAGATAGAAGTCCAGCTTCTTTAGACATGTTGAATCTAGAGACACTTTGGGATTTTTTTTGTAGCCCTACATAAGGTTGTGATTGTGTGCAAAGTGATATTTGTGTGGCTGGCTGACCAGTTTTATATGATTTATTTTGTGCTTGTGCTTCTGTTTGGAGATGTGATTGAGTTAGCACGTTCAATTGTTCTTCACCCAATGGCTGATCTTTCCCAAAGAGCATTTTGGCCTGCAGTATATCAATATACTCCCCTTGTGCAACAGCATTGGCTGTTAGCTCATATTTGCTCATATTGTGTATCTTTGTTTCTTTTCCTTTGTCCAGCAGTGAATTTTCAGAAACAATTGCACCTGCTTTCTCAACTTTGCACTCAGTTAAACCTGATGGGATGTGCTTATCCGAAACACTGTTAGATTTTGCGGCTGTTTGTGTCCCAGTAAAGCGACTGTCCCATGTGCTGGGAGACACCCAGCCAACTGGTTTACCCTCTGTTTCAGCGCCTTTAACTTTGACCAGTCGTGTTGAAGAAGCAGTTCTAGTGTCCACCAGGCAGAGTGACACAGCAATGCCGTGCTTTGCCGGACATATTCTCGTCTCCACGGAGAAGGCAGAAGGTGGCGAGGGAGATATTAAAACTGGATTCTCAATAGTTACAGGACACTCTTCTTGTTCAGTTCTCCTTGAAGAAGAAGGAAAATAATTATTTGTTGGACAGTTGTCAGTAAATTTAGGAAGAGGTGGAGGAACAGGAAGCGGAGGTGGCAAAGGTGGATATGATCGAGGACTAGAGGCCATGCTACTCTCAACACTTTGTGGCACAAAATCAGGCACAGCCACCTGTTCCCATGGTAACCTCACCAAGCCTTGCTCAGTGGCAACCAGGCATTGTCTGAGTGGTGTGCCACGACGGTCCTGGTTGAGCTCATTCAACCAGTCCCGGCTGAATATACAAGGATAAGACGTCTCAGGGATCGGGATCTCCTCTGCTACTTGCACATTGAGCCCTTCCTCTTCCAGGAGGCTACAGACCACAATGCGAGCCGACTGACTGCAGAATGGCACCACCTGGAGATAAAAGTCACCAGGCTGAAGGAGAAAAGAGTCGATTGGAGCAAGGTGGACAACAACTTGGTCATGTAAACAGAGTGGCCAGCCTTCGCAGAGGAAGAGTACGTTAGAGTACTGAGCCTAAAGAGAAAAATAATCATGGAAAATGTCAGAAACAAATCTACTTCAAGTAATCAATACCTTAATATGTATATTAGAACAGTGATTTTCCACTTTTCACTTTCCAACACATTGTTTGATATTAACAGTGTATAATGACTTACACATGCAGCCTGCTGCACAGTGTCTAAAATGTGCTTGGCTGGGACCAGAAAGTCCAGGAAACACCTCAGGGCATCTCTCTGATAATGACTGTCAAGGATTTGGAAAAGCTGGCTCAGCAAAACGGGGGCGGTGGCTTCATAGGGTGGGTACAACGCTGACAGAAGGCTCTGGATTGATTCTTCCACAGAATCAAGGTTCTAAAAACAAAGGACAAGAATCAAATATTTGCAAAAAAACTAGTTTATATATTAAATAATTAATACTGCGTAATGATCACTGCACTGACATGTTTGTAAAAATGTGTTTCAGCAGTAGCCTCAAATCTTAAAGGATTTTATTAGTATTACACAAACCAAATAAAACAGAGGGCAACAAATATCTTCCAGTTGCAAATCCTGGAAAACTACAAATATATAACAATAAAAATTTAAATTTCTGGCAGTAGATTACTCAATACATCATTTTTTTAAATTTACTCTATGATTCTTTTTTTATATTCCAGATGCAAATAAAACCATTAATTGAAACTCCCTGATAAGTACAGTATTCTACTGCTGAACAGTAGAGTTTTAAAAATTTAAAGAGTTCATTCTCACAGATCACTTACTCAAACTTTTAACCTGCTGAAAGAAAATCTGCACAAACATGAACCCACTATTTCCTGCAGAGGCAGCTGACAACAAATATTCAAGTAAACACGATGTGGTGGCTGGTCACAAGGGTAGTTACACTTCTGGTTTATGGTTTCACATTCCCTTTGACCTGAACTTACACCCCCAACCCACTTTTAGGTCCTGCTTTATTTAGCCCTGCTAAAGCTACTGCAGCAGACCTCAGATGGTTAATGTATACACTATGTAAGGTTGAGGGTTAGCAGGGAAATGTGGCTGCAGGAAGTGTGAATGCAAATGGGAATCTTGAAGCAGAGAAATTAAATGGGCTCTTTGGTCCACATGCATTGTTGTATAAAATTAAAAGACATATAACGTGTCAACCTTAGAAATGACAGCAGAGCATTTATTTATTTCTTGAGCACATGCATGAATATTTATTTTATGTAGCATGGGAGGAGAGTGGAAGTGAGCTTCTAAACAAAGTTTTAGGTGTTGTTTCTTTTTCTTTTGAAAGGTGATTCAAACACTTGTTCTTAAGTGTGGCACAACTGTTTAAAAGCACTCGGGTGGTTCTTGTTTTGATGTTCGGCAGCACCGAGCTGGGTGCGATGGCCAGCAGAAGCTATGGGTTTGGGAGTCTGTCCATCGACACAGTATCAAGATGCGTGGGCGTGGATCATTTGATTGATCATTTGGCGTTAGCAGTAAGAGAGGTGGTCGGATGTGAAAGTGTGAAAACTAGGATAAATAATGTTGTTGTTTTGTTCTTGGATTCTATTAATTATTTTTTCTTTTGTCGGCTGCTCCCTTCATCAGGGGTCGCCACAGCGAACTAACTTGCACGAAGACTTGGCGAATGTTTTTATGCCGGATGCCCTTCCTGATGCAACCACTGACCACTGTGCTACCACAGCCCTCTGTGTGGAGGGATTGATAAAGTTAATATTGTTGTTGAACGGGGGGTAGTTCTGAGAAATGCATATACTACTCCCCAACAATTTTCAGTCAGGTCATCTGGACAGTTTCTTTATTTGCTTAAACATTTGTCCAAATGACCTGACTGAAAATTGTTGGATTGTATACCTGGATTATTGAGCGTGGACTTTTTTGGTTACATACACTACTGTTTTTTTTTCTTATGAATCCAGCATAAAGGTCTTGCTGTCAAACTTGCCTCCATTTATTAGTGATGATGTGTTACTGAAGGAGTTGTCACGTCACGGTCAGATTGTCTCAACTATGAAAATGCTTCTCTCAGGATGTAAACCGGCCAAACTGAAACATGTCGTGTATTTTAGGAGGCACGTTTACATGATTTTATCAAATGATATTAAGGAACTGAACATAGTCATAAAATTCAAAGCTGAGGGTTTGAAGGACCATTTAGTGCAGGGTTGTCTTGAAAAATCAGAGTCCACTCAGACTGCTGGAGGGACAGAGACAAGAGTTTCTGAGGACAATGAAAGTGAGCAGAGAATAGCAGATGTTACAGAGTCTGGCGTTTTGCCCTGCTCCCCTCAAGCAGGAGGTTGAGGAGCATTAAGTGCAGAACCTGCAGCAACAGCTTCTACCATGAAGCTGTTAGACTCATAAGTCCCTAACCAGGATAATCACTGTAAGGAAAGAAAAAAAATCACTGTAATGCCACTTTAACTGATGTTATGTGACTTTTCTGATCTGCTGATTATCTCATGCTGCTATCATTAATACCCATCTGCTCTCGAGCTGCTGTTGTTACACCGCATTGTTTTACATTATTAGTGTTTAGCATATATCTTAGATCTTTTAATGCTCATTTAGCATATATCTTAGTGTATATCTTAGATCCTTGTATACTGTTTTTTTTTATACTTTATATTTTTGTTATTTTTGGGTGTAACTGGGACTTTGAATACATCATTTCTTTCCACCTCATGCACCGCATGTGATGGAAATGACAATAAACTTGAAATTCTCATTGAACTTATTGGAGCTGACATGGACAACTCTATTGCTCTTGCAAGAAGACTGGAAGTTCTTTCTGTTTGAATAGTAGATCTGATGCAGGGAAAGTTTAAAAGAACTTTATCAGAAGAGGACAAATGTTTGATATCTTGATGAGCTCTTAACACCTGACAAAACTGACAGCTTTCATAAACTGTGCATAAGGCTCAATTTTATAGACTGAAGTTATGGGTCCCCTGCTCGAGAAGGACATTAAAATATGAACTTTACTGGACTCTGAAAATGGAAAGACATTTATATCAAAGGCGTGTTAAAGCTCTAAATAGGGTGAAAGTTAAAGACAAACAAGACACACCATAGAGGGATTTCTTTGGAGGTCATTCTGAAGGTGGTTCTGGTAACGTTTTTAATGTGGGGGATAAAAGACATGTCCTGATCAAAAATAATACCAAGATTTTTAACATTAGAGCTGGAGGCCAGATTAATGCCATCTAAGGAGGGCAAAAGACTGAAAAATGTATTCTTAAGATGCTCAGGTCCAAAAACTAAAACCTCAGTCTTGTTTTTATTCAAAAGCAGAAAATGTAGGTTCATCCAGGTTTTTATATCTTTAAGAAATGGTTGTAGCCTAGTAGCTGATTGGATTTGTTGGGTTTCATGGACAAATATAGCTGTTTATCATCAGCCTAACAATGAAAATGTATCCCATGCTTTTTGATAGCATTACCTAATGGAAGCACAAGGTAAAGAGTACTGGTCCAAGCACTGAACCCTGAGGAACTCCATGACTAACTTTAGTGTATGATGAAGATTCATTATTTACATTTACAAATTGGAATCTATCAGACAAATATGATTTAAACTATTTTAGAGCCTTTCCTGTAATCCCAATATCATTTTCAAGTCTGTAGTAGAATATTATGATAAATTGTATCAAAAGCAGCACTGATGTCAGCATGTTGTAAATGGACTGTATTTATATATTACCTTTCTATGTGATCAAGATACTCAAAGCGCTTTTCACAAAAATCTGTGCCCTCATTTACACATTCATACAGCACTCTAATAGATCTATACAAATAATAATCAGTGCTTTATCACATTCATACATTGATGGGACACACATCGGAGGCAATGAGGGGTTCAGTGTCTTGCCCAGGGACACTTCAGCATGTGACTGCTGGTGGAATCGAACCCCCTTACACTGAAGGATGACTGCTCTAACCACTCAGACACGTTGTGAGCATAACGTAAAAAATAAGCGAGGTAACAACTTCCATTTTGGTATGTGGCAACAGACATTAGAACATTTCCTTTAAAAAAATTGGGCTGCACATCAAAATCCAAGATGGCTGCTGTCATATATGAGTAACAAATTACCCCAATCATTAAGGGAAACTATATATGTTCTAATTTTTATATTGCTTCAAAGTATAGTCTCCTCAAATGATAGGGGTAGCACTTGGTGTGGCCGAAGATTAATTTATGGTGTCCAAGGCCGCCATTGGGCACCCTTTGGTTCCGCCTTTCCGCCTGGTTGTGAAACATTTGCTCTCTCCACTCACCAGGATCTGTGCTGCCTCAGAGAAGCAAAAAGAACAACAACAAACCACCTCATCCTTATACACAGAATAACTCCTACTCAATTTAATATCTTGCATTCAAAAGCATTTAAGTTTGTTTGCACTCCTTGTTCAATTCCAGTCCAGAAAAACACTTATCTCAAAATTTACCAACATTCACTATTCAGATCCCTCAGTGACAGACTGGGGTCAGTGACATACTACTTTTATTCTTTCTTTTAAAGTTTCTTTAGCTGCCTTCTCCTATGTATGTCCTGATTTAAACCCTCCATAGAATATTCTTCCCTTACGTTATCATCTCAATATTCTTCAGAAGTGCACAGCCCCCCACAACTGCAGGAAACAACACTATGACTCAGAGCCTTTTGGTCAGTTGTCTTCCACACCCCATGGGACAAAACTCAGCTGTAGCCGTCAAGTTAACGTGAAGGAGAAGGAGAGCACTTATAAGAACAGAGGCAGAGGACGTTGCATAAAAGCAGGCTGGTGATAACTGCAAGCAGCCCAGAAAAATGCAATACCCATGAAAATTTAGATCACAGTTCATAATCTTTAACATTTTTTAAGACAATGAACACTTTTTTTAATTGTTAAAGCAAAAAAAAAAAAAAAACTTGCTTTGAGAAGTCCAATTGGTTTAAAGATACCCAGATTTTGATCAAGATTCTTGTCAAAGAGAAGTGTAAAAATTAAGAGTATTTAAATGACCGGACGTTTAGAACTAAACTGTGGTTTGGGTCATGCGGCAGCAGTGAAACATGAAGAAGAGAAGAAGTGTTTCCCTGTAAAGTGAGCGTGAGACAACTCCTCGAGCTGTGAGTCATCTCTGAGAACATGGGCACATTATTTGTATGTCCGCTAACAATAACACTGCACATTAGGGAGCTTTTAAAATCCTGTTTAATTGTTTGCTAAACTGTTTCCAGTTCAAACAGTGTGAATGGATCCATATCTCTGTTCTGTAGCACAGAATCACACAGCTTTTATATAAACACTTGGATCTTCCTCACTCAGCCACTAAAATAAATGACAACGCTCACATTACTGTGGGTAAGA